TTATGTTCTCCTCAGTATCTTGCTTCATAATATTGAAGATTTTTGATTATATAAAACGTATTTTGGTTATATAAATTATATGCCATTACAATTTTTTATACACAATTGTAATGATTTCGTTAATCTGTGCAGAGCACCAAGAAACAAATGAGCCGATTTGAGAGACACATGAAGAACTACATGGACAGTAAACGTATGAAATCTGCAAGAAGAGCAGTAGATATATCTATAGAAGGTCGTAAAATGTCTTTGTAATATCGTGATTTTTATGCTTTATACAAGGTTGGAATAAATCTGTGGCAATGTCTCCTAATGATGCGCAGGAAAAATTTGATTTAATTTTTGCGTAAATCTCGGGCAAATTAAAGATAAATTGCAAAACACAAAGTTGCTTATTCTTTTTCCAACAATTGGTATTACATGTTTATTTGCAGAGGAAAAAAAAAGAAATAGTTGTAGTTTCATTTGAAGATAAGCTGTTAGTAAAAGAATTATGCAATTTTGTTTGAAAATACAAAAAATAATTACATTTAAAATATTTTAATCAGATTGTTCCAATCAATTTTGACTAAAAAATCTAAGGATATTGTTTATGGATTAAGCATCGCTAATGTATTGTTTAGTCTGTATATATAGAATTAAATAAAGATGCATGTTTGAATTTATATACATTTTGTTTTGTATTTAGCTGACTGAATTAAACATTTCATATATAAGCAATTGGAAGAGATGTTTTATACACATACATATATACATGTGTGTGTGTGTGTGTGTGTGTGTGTGTGTGTGTGTGTGTGTGTATGCACAAAATGTTTCACGGATTAAAAATAAACAGAATTTATGATCTGTTTGTATAAAGTATTTATAAGATCAACTTACACTGTGAAAATCTTCCAAGATTGATGATAATATACTTCCTAGAAATATCAGTTTATGTTAGAATATATCAATAATATTTGTTCAAATTTTATATATGTGTATCATATACATACATACGCATAAAAATTATAATTTACAAATAAAAATATTTATTTATAACTTTTCCTTTACGTTCTCTCTTTCAATTGGTTTTTCAAAAAGCTAAATTAAATGGCCGCAATAGAATTTCCGTGCAAGATGGTGGTAGTTCCTTTCCGGTTTATCGTTAAACTGGTTAAACGTGTCACGCGATACTATGAAAGCAAAGGGTGAAGTAAGTAATTTTTACAAATTTTACTTGAGAAATAACGAGATCAATATTGAAAGCTATTTTTTTTATCCCAAGTATTAATAGTCACTTAAAATTGGCTTAAAAATGTTAAATGGAGCTTTACATTGTGATAAACGGCGTGATCTAACCTATAACTGCCCATACCAACTCACACCAACGCATGCTCGCATAATTCGATACAGCTAATTTATGATAAATTCGAATGAAATGATCATCTCTCTTTTTTTCTTCTAGCTGAAAGAATTCGAGGTGATAGGGCGCAAGCTCCCCACCGAGAAGGAGAAAACCACGCCGCTGTACAAAATGAGAATATTCGCGCCGGATGCTATAGTAGCCAAGTCCAGGTTTTGGTATTTCTTGCGCCAGTTGAAGAAG